TGTTAACCAATGTCATAAAACAATATGTGTACTGACTGTTTAATGAGAAACTATTTGTTCTGTAAACCTTCATCTAAAGTACAATTAAAAAAAGCTGCCTTTTCGATTTTATCTTTTTAATTACATAAGTAATATCTAATAGGAAATACTGAATAACAAATGAAGGGGGAAAAACCCGGAATCTAACACCTTCCCTCCCTCTAAGTTAACTGCTGTGCGCATTTGCTACCCGTAGTTCAGCTCTTCATCCTTTCACCCATGGACTCAGACTACATAAGCTATTTTGTAACTGCTTTTGTCATTCGACAATACAGTATCTTTCCGTATAAATATACATCCATAATGTCACTGTGTGCATGCGTGTGTGTGCGCGCGCGCACTTTAGGTGACAGTTTTCAGAGTAAATTCGTTTCTCATTCAACAATTTATACACAGATTGTTTTGTGATATTGGTTGCAATCCCCACAATGTGTCCACACTCTCCCCTGCTCCACCCTGGATTCCCCATTTCCCTTCGTCCAGTTTTCCTGTCTCTTCCTGCCTTCTCGTCTTTGCTTTTGGGCAGGTGTTGCCCATCTGGGCTCATATACTTGATTGATCTAAGCATGTTCCTCACGTATGTTATTGTTTATAGGCCTATCTAGTCTTTGGTTAAGAAGCCCTGATGGCGCAGTGGTTAAAGCAATCGACTGCTAACCCAAAACGTCAGTGGTTCGAAACCACCAGTGGCTCCGCAGGAGAAAGATGTGGCAGTCTGCTTCTGTAGAGATTTACAGCCTTGGAAACCCTGTGGGGTGGTTATGAGTTGGAATCGACTCCACAGCAGTGGATTTTCTTGGCTGTAATCTTTATGGAAGCAGATTGCCAGGCCTTTCTTCCATGGAGTTGCTGCATGGATTTGAACTGCCAGCCTCTCAGCAGCTGATCACAAACTGCTTGTACCACCCAAGCTCCTTGGGACATCATTTGGTTTCCCTATTATGTTTCAAGGAGTGTCCATAGTTAAAGGCA